AATTTTTATATATGCTTTGCATTGTTTTCGAATGCACTTCCATCGTTCAATATCGTTATTCAACTCTTTGCAGTGAAAACAAAATTTAAATTCATTTTTAATAATTAACATTTTACCTTTTTCACTGTACATATATATTGTAGACTATCCATTTTTAATATATATTAACGAAACACGGACACGCACAAATAACGACTGAAAAGTTTATTTGGTTCAATAATTGAAATCATATTATCTTTATTTCTAATAAATTAAATAATATAATRATAWWWWAATAATAAATAATTTAATAATATGATATTATTAAATTCGATTATTTTGTGCGATAACTGATATCATATTATCTTTATATCTAAATAATGTGATATTGTTAAATTCGATTTGACACGGGACGGAATTAGTATATCCGTCAAAAAAACCATGGACGGAACTCGGATGCAGCCCTGGCCGATAGTGGTGCTGCCACTTAACACCAAGACACACCCTAAATAATCTAATAATAATAGTGTATATACGTTATAATATGTTAATAATAATAATGTGATTTTCTTCTTCGTAGGTAAACTCTTCGTATCTGCGAGGCCCATACATAGATTACGTTGGTCGCGAGGGGCTGATGGTCACCACTCTAGGCCTCAAGTTCGAGGCTGGAATGCAGCACTTCCGGATGCCAGGCTCCAGTGGTCACCAACACCGGAACAGGCTCGATCGGGACATGAAACTCAAATGCGTGGCCACGCTGGGCACGGTGTACTGGAAGTCAAAAGARCAGAGCGCGCTGGCGCACCGACCGCGGCCTGTCCCTGGAATGCCATTGCCGGGTGCCGACGATGGACTGGTAGGAGGCGATGAACAGGACGCTGACTCCAGGGCTGATCCGGTTCACGGTAAGCGTAAATCCGTCACTCGTTCTGCTCAACGCAAGGAAAAGGCTATTATACATAGTCTGTAAAATATATTCCATTTATGAGCAATAAACAAAATATAATTAATATAAAATATTTATGAAATTTAGGGACCGGTCCAATGTGTGATCTACCGATAAACGGCTGGTTTAATGTGTGATCACTGTGATCTACCAATAAATGGCTGGTCCAGTGTGTAATTAACTTGCTATTAATTTGTATCGGGTGGCATGACCGCCACCATTCTTCTTTAAGTTGTCGTTCTAATAGTGGAGATGCACCATTTACTTTTA